CTATTTACTTTTTTGTCATGAAGAAAAAAAAAGGAAGGTGGTTAGATGATATCTGGAGAAATCGTCATGAATGCTCATTAAATCAAAGTTTGATCTGGAATCAAAATTGAGATGTTGTATTAATAAAATACAGATGGCTCATTTGTGTTTATGCATGACTGTGTGTACGAGCGATTGTGTGCAGAGGCGTTCTAGTTTTTTTGTTTGTTTTTTTGCTTTTGAGTCATAGCTTTTCAAAATCACTATAAACAAAGCTGGTATTTGATCTTTATTTTACCGATACATTACATAAATAGTGACTAAAAGGTTGAAGTTTTTCTATTCTGTGAGTTCCTCATGCATCAAGGAAGCGTGTGTCCTAAAGATATTTTTGTCTTTTTCTTTACAATAGCACATTCTTACTTCTCTGCAGATGTAATTCTTGCAAAAGGAAAACATTTTAATTGAAATTTTTACTTGATCTGTGGGCCCAGAAGGGAATGGAGAACATTATTCAGACTCTCTGACAGAGTTGCAAGCATTTAGTGCAAACTTAAACGCCATCAGGGAGCCAGTAAGTGTTAGAAGATGGTTGCATGTGACAAGAGGACACTCTTTTTCTATTTTTGTGGTAGAACAGCTTCATGTGGTCAGTGTTTCAAAGGAAGGAAGTAGAAGGAGGGTTGGACTGTGACACTAAATGAAGATATGTACCGTCTCAGTTCCCCATTTTCATTAAACTTGTACTCTCTGCTTGTCCTTCTCCACTCACGCTCATACAGAACAAGTCAGATCTTGTAGGTTAGGATGGGGAAAACCTCACTCTGTTGGGTGACTTTACTTTGTGAGTACAATTTGTGTGTGTGTGTATGTGTGTATGGCTGAAATGGCAGTGTGTTTATCAAATGTATAATATGTCTCAGTAAGTTATGATGTTTAATGTCTAAAATCTGCTTTTTAGTGCTGCATATGGTCTTCAATTTTGGACATGCACAAGGTGACGTAACGTCTTTTTTTTATCTGTTACTCTGGATCTTCACACTAATTTTACTCTTAAACCTTTTCCAGTTGAATATGTTTTGGCATAACACAAGTAGCCTAGCATTCATTGTTTACATCTTGTGTTTTTTGTTGTTTAATCTAGATGTTCAGTTGACCCATGACCCCAGTTCATCCACTTTATTTCTTGGAGAGTCTGTTACCTTCACATGCAACATGACAGCAGGATACGACTCTAACTGGCGCTACCTATTCCATCGAAACGGTCAACACATTGTCTCCAAGTCAGATGTTTCAAAGTTCCTTCAACTCGACCTAACGACCGACCTGAGCGGGCGATACCAGTGCTCCGCTTATCATAAGGACTCGCCAGGGTTCATCAAGCAGAGTAACAACATCACGCTTTCTGTGGCAGGTATGTTCACGTTACCGTCTCTGCAGTCGGGTTTGGCATCAGAAGCATCACAAGCTTAGGCATCTGACATAGAGTTTGGATAGAGAGTGCAGTTTGAGTTGTCTTGCTTGAAGTTTCCTTAACCTGGGAAGTCTGCATCCTGTTTGATGATTTCATTTGTAAATTTCATGTTGGAAATGTTGAAGTTATGAACTTCAACATTTCGTATGTTGGATCCAACATTCATTTGGAATGAATGTTGGATCCAACATTCATTTGAGCAGGATGATGTCAGTGTTGAGGGTGGGAGGGGACATACATACATTACCTACATATATGCATTTTTCCTTGAATGGTATTGTTGACTCAAGACCTTCGCTTAGAGGCGGGTCTGGAGGGGGAGCATATGCGGCCATGTTCCAGCACTCATAGATAGTATCAGCTTTTCTGCTGCTGTTGAACTGACCACAGTGAAGTCACTTTGGGTAGTTGCAGACCGAGTTGCACAGCTAAGTCTTTTACAGAAGTGACAAAAAAAAAAAGCAGAAATGCTCAAGCTGTAGAGCTTGAGCAGGTAATGAAAACATTGCATGCTGTTTGCACACATCCTCTGCAATATCATTTTCTTCTTAATTCAAATTGTTTCTCAACTCCACTAAATAACCTCTGCAACATCTTCGAATACTGTTAGAAAAAAAGATTGTTTGAGATAAAACGATTGTGAACATCTCTTTCCTATTTGATGTCGTCTGAATGTTTGCTAAAAATCTGGAGCTTAACACAAAAACAGAACTGTGACTGTTTGACAGTCACAAAATACGACTAGGACGATAAGAAGCCAGCTTCCTGCCTGACCAGAAGGTGTCATAGTTGGGTTATTTCTGTTAAGCTGTTCTCAACTCTAGGGTTTCCATGGAAACATAAAGGAGATAAATCATTCTAAGATGTCTTAAAGTAAACATGCTCTGAGATAGACATGCACTTTTTGCGAGTAGGCCAGTAGGCAGTGCCTGTTCTGCTTACAATGATCACATATTATTGGCTAAATGCCAGAATGGGATAATTTCTTATTTCTTTACTCATATTTGAAAATATATGCATCCTAACATTAATATGCATTTTCATGATTGGCACGATTGTCATAATTTTGTACATTTCAGCTAAATGGAGGCCCAACTTTGGATAATAAATATTTTCCTCTCGTACAAAGTTTTTCTTTTCTTGTAGTTTTGGGGATATACTCTTGTCACTTCTGACCGTTGTCTGACCGAGACATCTGCTGTTCTCTTCCTTAGTGTCAAACTAGGACTGCAGGAGGGTTAAAGCACATCTTAAGCATATTTTCCTTTTGCGACGTCACCTATCCAAAGAAACCTTTGAACTTTCAGAAATGAGAGAGTATAGAGTAAAGAGGAGTGGACTGAAATCCCTCCTGAGATTTCTGGAAACTTGGTAACGCTAGGGTTTTACCACCAGTTACTCACATCTTGTTTGAGGATCAACTACTTATTTCTCTCGGTGAAATACTAATGAATTCACAAATTCTGACTTTTATTTAACGTTTATACATATAAATAATGTAAAATAATGAATTAAGTATGCAGCCTAAACATAATTTTTTGATGCTGTTTTTTTTTAAATATCTATAATAATAATAATGTAAAACAAAACTGCTTTTAAATAAATCAGCCAACAGGCCTACAGCTACTGTGACTGCAGACAGGAAGACCATTTCAGAGGACAGACCGACTGAACTTACCTGTTCAGTTCAAGACTCTGCCGGATGGAAGTATGACTGGTTCAGGCACATATTCTCTGAAGGCCAGATTGAAAGCAATGTTGTCAAAAACACCATCAACATCCACCGTGGAGGCATCTACTGGTGCAGAGGAAGAAGAGGAAGCCCAGATTTCTTGACTGAGCCCAGTGAAATGTTCTACATTGAGAACACATGTGAGTTTCACAACATGAAGAAAAGAACATGAGCTGAACAGTGTTGTTTGGCATTCACAGCTTAATTTTTTTTCTGTACTCAAACCATAATCAGTGTCCAACCAGGCAAATGTTGCTTTGCAACATGACTGGAGTCAGATATACAGCGGTGAGGCAATATCCATGAGCTGTGAGATAAAGGGAGGAGGAAACTCTAAGTGGGAATACGAGTGGAGAACAACAACTTCAAAGCCGCCATCAAGAGAGAGAACAGTTCATATTAGAGCCTCTGTTTTCTCCAGTGGTGACTTCTGGTGTAGGGGGAGAGCAGATCCATTTTCCTCAACCGAGTGGAGCCAAACATACCATCTGAGAGTATCAGGTAAGTACTTATTTTTGTTTTTTTGTGTCTTTTGGTAATTTTTTCAGCAAATGATGCTTTATTCTCACCACAAATAAACCACAGATAAACCAAGACCCACGGTGAGGGCCGATAAAAGACTCATACCAGTAGGGGGCAACTTAACTCTCACCTGCTCTGTGGACAATCCGACTGAGTGGAAATACTACTGGTTCAGACACACTGGCAACATTTCTGAAGTTCAGACCGTTGACGAAGGAAAATCAGAAAATGTCATCAGTATCTCTCAGGGAGGAGTGTACTACTGTCAGGGAGGAAGAGGAAGTCCAGTCTTCTTCACTGAAGAAAGTCATCGGATCACCATTGAGAAAAGAGGTAGTTATGGTGACGTTCATGGCTGTTAGCATGATCCATGACTAATCTTTAACAATTCACCACTTTTTTCTCACCTGTATTGTGTTTTCACAGTTTCCAATATGGCTTCTGTTTCTCTGGAGCCTGACTGGCCCGTGATTTACTCTGGAGAGACGATCACTGTTAGATGTGAGATTTCTGGAGGTAGAAACAACGAATGGGTTTATGAATGGAGCAAGCCAATATCAGATACATTACCAACGAATGAATACCGAATTGTTGATGCATCTGAGTCCAGCAGTGGGAACTACAGGTGTTTGGGGAGAAACAAGCAGGATCTGTATTCATCGACCGAGTGGAGCGACATCACGACAGTCACAGTTTCTGGTGGGAATAAAATTCATCTTGACCCAGATCCCATTATTTTCATTATAGTGTAAAACATAGACCTTTTTGGTTTCATCTGTACTTACTGTTATAAAAAAGATATTATTTATAGACAGACCTCGAAATGTTGTTTTGCTGCAGCGCAAGAACACAATTCTACCTTTTAATTGTAGTACGAATGTAGTATTTCAGTGCAGTGTTAACAAACTCTTGCTTGTCTGAAGACTTTTGGTGAGTGACTTCAAATGAGACAAGAGTCTTCTTACACCTGTCCAAATAAACTGGGCACATCCTGGTGAGAAAGATCACCAAGAATCCAATCCTCCCATCTTAACCAAACCATTGCTAAAACCTTCTGTCGATTTGGTCTTTGTGGAAGTGTGGCTTGATGAACATAGTAGCATTGTTGAATTTTGCCAAAGCATTCCTTACAGAGTGCCATGAACATGAGAAATACCATTGTGGACTGCTCATCTCACAAACAATAACCTTTTCATCAAGCATGCTGGAAGAAGCTGTCTACTTTGGAGAAGTTTTTCTGCATAAATGGAAGGATGACAGTTGACAAATATTCAGAAATGTCTCACGAAAATTGTTTGAGAGTGCCTTACATTTCAGACTAAAGGAAAACCTTGTAGATTTTTCTTTTAATCAAAAATTTAGGAAATAAATATCAGTTTGGACAACAGTCTGGAGTGGTGTAGCAGGACCCTTGAATTATTTTTTTTTAAATACAGAGTGAATGTCAGTTTTGTTCCTACAACACTTAACGAGCCTATTAGTTTAAACACTAAGAATATTGAGTTTGATAGTTGAAAGCATTTATTTCAATGTCATTAAGAAACTGATGTTTAATTTGCAGCTGCAGTGTTTTTTAGTGTTTATTTTTGTTCTTTTTGTTCTTTTTTAACAATAGTTTACCTCTTTATCTCAACAGAGCAGAGACCGAAGGCTCAAATTATTCCTGACAGAGACTCAGCAGGGGGCACTGTGACCCTAACCTGTTCTGTTAAACCATCTTCATCATCATCATCTAGTTGGACTTACTACTGGTACAGAGTCGAGATCGCCTCTAAACCTGTGGAACTGAAATCTGATACAAACGGAGAACTCGTTACGTCAGAGAATGGATTGTATTTCTGCAGAGCAGGAAGAGGACGCCCAGTTTACTACACAGAGTCCAGTCAGTCAGTTACTGTCGACATACCTGGTAGGTGTTTCAATGAGTTAGTACATCGATTTTTGAGGTTCATACAGAAAATAATCCTTATCAATTTTTTCCTTTAATTTGGAACAGCGACAGACAAACAGAGACCTGTTGTGACTCAGCAGCCAAACTGGCCTATGATGTACTATGGTGAGAAGGTCACTCTGAGATGTCAGATCCAGGGACAACCTACAGATTGGGTTTTTGAATGGATTTCATCCAGTGGGGATGCACCATCAACCCAAAATGACATACTTAGTTTAGATTATTCATTTTCTAAGTACTACTGGTGTAGAGGCAGGAGGAAGAGTGAGCCACAGAATGTCACTTGGTGGAGCGCTCCCTTTACGAGGAGATATGCTTCGTGTAAGTCAAGTAACATTGTTTTTTTATGTTAAACTAGATCACTCATTTAAATTCTTCTGTTACTGAGAAACTTTCTTCAACAGCACCAACGCCAGTCCTCACTGTGTCTCCATCATGGCTGAGTCCTGGAGCCTCAGTGACTCTGAGCTGTGAGGTGGAACATCCATCTGCAGGATGGAGGTTCTACTGGTATAAAGCTGTTCCTGATTTATTACCTATTATGGAGTTTGCTGCACGCAGACGTAGGAGTTTTTACTTTCCCAGTGGATACAGGTTTGAAAACCTGCCTGGCACTATCAAAGGGACTGTAGAGAACTCCTTCATCATTCATGGACAGAAACAAACAGCAGGGTTTGCATGTAGAGCTGGAAGAGGAAACCCAGAGCATTTGACTGATTACAGTGAACCAAAGTTTGTCTGGTCTGCAGGTCAGTCTTGCTTCTTTTCATCCACATGTTCTACATTCACTCAGTTTAGAGAACACTCAGTCCAAGTAAAACATGTTTAAAAATACAATTGACAGATTTTGGTTTAAGATGAACATATTGCATATCGGCAATATTTTCTATGCAATTTAGTTCACTGTGACAAAAGCATGTAAAGTAAGTGTTGCATGCTATAATAGCATTTTT